CTGGGCGCCAGGAGATGGACCCCCAGGCTGGTGAGTGGGTGGCATTTTTCTCCCATTATGGAGCAGAGGTGGGGATGTTTTATGGCACAGGTAGTGGCTTTTGGTGGCCTTCCCCTCCCCTCTGCTGTCGGTGGAGCTGGGGCTCAGCTCTGCCTCAAGCAGCGCTGCTCGGAGGCGTCTCGCTGGAGCGCGAGGACACCGGCTCCCGAGGGTGTCAGGGCAGGGAGTGCCTCCCATGCGTGGCATGGGGCTGGGCACAAAGCCATCCTCCTCCTCCCACTGGCGGTGGGTGTGGGGAGAGGGCAGTTTCGGCAGCCGGCTGATTCAGGACGGCTGTTGCACCATGCTCCTCCTGTCCCGCAGCTCCTGCGGCGTGAGTCACCCCTGCAGCAGACACCCTGACCTCACCCGCGCCGGTCCCCTCTAGGGTCCCAGGGCTCCCAGCTCATCCCTGGCCCAGCAGAAGCGGGGTGTGCTGGCTGCCCGCGTACCCTGGCCCCCCGAGCCCCGCCGTGAGCACCCGGCGGAAAGGAAGGGCGGGCTGGTCCCCGCGTGTTTGCCAGATCCCATCAGGTAGAGCCAGCGCTGTGGGTTGCAGGATGACCTGGGACCTCGCTCACTATGTAAACACTGTGACCACAGGGGAAATGTTCTCACTCCGCCGGCATCTGTCTAAATTTAGCTGCTGTTAGGTCATCCTTTTCCGCTGCCTCCCCGCTCCTGGCGCTGCGAGGCACGGCGCCCCGTCTCTGTGCCGGGTGCTCGCCCCGAGCCCTCTGCGCAGGTGGGGGGGTGCTATGGGGCTGACCGTGTGCCGGGGCAGCGGCCAAACCCTGCTGTCCCCTCCTGGGCACAGCAGCCCCAAGAGCTGTGCCCACCAGCACCCTGCCTGCGTTGTGCTAATGGGCCGCACTGGGACCGACCGGGCAGCTTACTGGTCAGGGAGGCCCCAGTGGGGATGCTGGGGTGCAGGGGGGTGTGCAAGAGGCCGTGCTGCCTGTGAGATGGGCTGACGCTGGAGCCTGCTGGGAGAGCAGAGGAGGGGCTGGGATGGTGTTTGCGCAGGGGTTTGGGAGAGCCGGGGTGGGTCGCGGCTGGAGATGTGGGATCCGTAGCCCCGTGCCCGCCGTTGCGTGTGGTTCGTTCTGCGCAGCGTGCAGCCTGCTGTCAGCCGGGCGGTGGCTGCTCATCGCTGTGCCGTGCCCGGGCACCTTGGTGTCCCCTTGCCAATGCTGGGAGCGCCGGCGGCGCTGGGCTTCGCCAGACCCCGCGGTGTGGACGGGAGGGATGGGGGGGGTGCAGAGCTCCCGCAGTCATCCAGCATGGCCCTGTTGTTGTCCCATCCCAGGCTGGTGCTGGCAGCAGGAGGCTGCTCGCCCTGACAAATGCATCCTCTAGAGGGAACTGA